CTTTCAGTAGTAGTGCTATTGGATTCCGAACCGAATAATAATACATGAATGAAATCTCAGCCACACGTTTATTTGTTCTCCATGGCTGCCAATTTTCTTGTGCTGTAAATCACAAGAGAAGAAAAAGATCAACAGGCAGAGATATCACTCCTTCAGCAGCTCCCAGTGTTTGGAGGGCTTGAGGTGAATAATTATAGCCTTTGTGTTACACATTCATTATTTCACCAGCATCAGTTGGCCCTGGCTTTGTATTCTGAGCTTTGCTTTGCTGACAGTGAAAGTAACTTGGCAGAATGGTCATGGATCACCTCCTCACTGTCCCTGACTGTTGGCAAGACCCTGAGCGAGGGAAGGAAATGGGTGCTCATTTGTGTGACACTGGGCACGCTAGGCGCTCTCAAACTCTCTCTCTTTTTGTCCTTCTAACTAACGTGCTCCCCACCAGGCTCTGGGTCACTCGATCAAATGTGTTTGGAGGTCAGAGACCTGGAGCCCTTCTCTTGGATCCGCTTCTGACTTGAAATGAAACTAACCGTTTTCCCCAGAGGGATTGTGGCAAGTATATTTCCCAGGTCTCATGATAGGAATAGTGATTCTTTAAACTATGAGCCTGCCCATGATTAATTTGACTCAAGAATTTATCTTTTTCTGTAACAGTGTAAAAGGGATGGCTGCAGCATTGTATTGCAAAATAGACACAACCTTGAATGGGAAGTCTTTGGTTCGAGGTCCGATTCAGTCATTTCACAGGCATGTGTGTTCGGGCAAGTTGCAGACTTTTTCTGTCTCTGTGTCTAACTCCGGTGCTCACCTTAAAGAGTGTTCGGTGGCTCAAATGAAGACTCATTATGTGATAGTGCTTTGTGAGCTTTAGCATGATATGGCAGTCCCTCCTTATTCACAGTTTTGCTTTCCACAGTTTTTGTGGTCAACTGTGGCTTAAAAATATTCCATGGAAAATTCTAAGCTGGGCTCGGTGGCTCAGCCTGTAATCCCGCGCCTTTGGGAGGCTGAGGTGAGTGGATTGCCTGAGCCTGCGGGTTCGAGACCCACCTGGGCAGCGAGACCTCATCTCTACAATAAATAAAAAAAAAAATCAGCCGGGCGTGGTAGCACATGCCTGTAATTCCGGCTACTTGGAAGGCTGAGGCGGAAGGATCGCCAGAGCCCAGCAGGTCGAGGCTGCGGTGGCCGGGTGCGGCCCCTGCACTCCAATCTGGGCGACAGAGTGAGACTCCAACTCAAAAAAAAAAAGAAAATTCTAGAAATTAACAATTTGTAAGTTGTAAATTTGAGCGCCATTCTGAGTAGCATGATGAATGCTTGCATGTCCTGCTCTATCCTTCCTGGGGTGTGAATCACCCCTGTGTCCACTGTTTCCATCGTGACTATATAGGAAAAAATGTAGTGTCCATAGTGTTCATAGAACTGTCCACAGTTCTAAGCATCCACTGGGGATTTTAAAATGTATCACCTGCACATAAGGAAGGACTGCTGTATACAGTCTTTGTTGCTTTGTCTGTATTTCTCTGTGGCTCTCTTTTCTATGTTCATATGCTTACTTTTGCCACTGTTTGTTTTCTCCATTACAATGCTATTCCACTACTCTGTGCCAGATGAGCAGCTCTGATTCATTGCAGTGGGTTGATTCGTGGCCACCAAAAGATAGGTTCCAGCCCTAATCCCTGGTACTTGTGAAGGTGACCTTATTTGGAGAAAAGGTCTTTGCAGATGTAATTAAGTTAAACATCTCAAGATAATATAATACTAGATTGACCAAGTGGACCCTAAATCCAATGGCAAGTGTTCTTATAAGAAGAGAAGGCACAGAAGGGTGGGACATGCAGGAAAGACCCACTGAAGACAGGCAGAGATGCTGCCACAAGCCAAGAAATGCTCGGAGCCACCTGCAACTAGAAGTGGCAGGAAAGGATCCTCCCCTAGGGCCTTTAAAGGAAGGGCAACCCTGACAGCACCTTGATTTTAGACTTTTGGCCTCTAGACCTGTGAGAAAATAAATTGCTGTTGTCTTAAGCTACCAAATTTGTGGTAATTTGATACAGTGGGAAACTGTGTTATTCTATTTTATATTTTAGAGATCTTGGGTGCAGTGATATGATCATAGCTCACCGTAGCCTCAAACTGCTGGGCTCAAGCAATCCTCCTCTCTCAGTCTCCCAAGTAGCTAGGATCACAGACATGTGCCATTATGCCCATCTAATTTTTTTAATTTTTTGCAGAGATGGGGTCTTGCTATGTTGCCCAGACTAGTCTTGAACTTCTACACTCAAGCAGTCCTCTTATTTCAGCCTCCCAAAACTCTGAGATTACAGGCATGAGACCGTTCACCTGACCAAGTTACAGAAAATGGATACACTCATCTTTTAAGGCTTGACTTGGGTGTTCTCTGCTTTTGGAAGTCTCTCTTGAACCCCCAAAGGGCAAGGTACCCCTCCTCTGTGTGCCCATGATCCCCTCACACATGTCACTCTGCTTGGTCCTGCTTGTGCAATTACCCATTGATGTGTCTTCCTTCCCATGGCACTGAGGGCTCTGTGACAGTGGGGGTGTTTCTCCTCATTCTTCTCAGCCAGCTCAGCAGAAGCTCAATATGTGTTTGTTTCATGCAAAATGAGTTTTGCTTCCAAACCCTGTCATTTTTATTAAATCTGCCACTACATTAGCCTAGACACTTAGTGCCTGCCTTGGGAATCAGTGTGCTGGGCTTTTCATTTACAGACACACTTCTTCTTTTAGTACACGCTGCCGGATTAATATTATTTCTGAAGTACAACTCAGGTTGGGTGTGGTGTTTCCTGCCTATGATCCTAGCACTTTGGGAGGCCAAGGTGGGAGATTTGCTTGAGCTCAGGAGTTCGAGACTAGCCTGGGCAACATAGCGAAACCTTGTCGCTACAAAAAATAAAAATAAAAAATTAGCCAGGCATGGTGGTGTGCAACTGTAGTCCCAACTACTTGGGCAGACGAGGAGGGAACTCTTGAGTCACGGAGTTCGAGGCTGCAGTGAGCCATGATCACGCCACTGCTCTCCAGCCTGGGTAACAGAGCGAAACCCTGTCTCAGATAAAATAAAATAAAGTACCACTTAGGTATTTGCCCAGCCAGAGACTTTCAGAAGCTCCACACCTCTTGGCTTTCAAGTCCCTCCACTTTATGTACCACTACACCCTCTATGAACTCTAGGAGACTCGTGTGTTCCCTGTGTCTGTAGAAAAATACTTTGCTATGTAAATCCTCTGCTGGAACTGTTGATGGCAGAAAGGCCCTTCTCTCCATCACTGTTGAAATCTCAATTACCCAAGAGCCCCAGTCAATTCCCATGTCATCTCAGAGACCTTCTTGGTCACTCAGGCAGGAATACAATGTTCTGCCTCGGAACCCCTGTTAGACTGGTTGTCTGTGCTTCTGTAGGTGTCTATGCAGACCAGGGTAGGATATTTGGGGCCATGCCTTTGCTAACAAGATGGGGTGCTCCTTTCTGAAGTTTGGGGCCAACTCTTTTCTGTTGGTTCCACTGAAGTGGAATGCCTCATTAATTGGACATGTTAAAGATATTAATGGCCGGGCTCGGTGGCTCAGCCTGTAATCCCGCGCTTTGGGATTGCCTGAGCCCACGATTGAGACTCGCCTGGGCAACTGTGAGACCTCATCTCTACAATAAATCAAAAATTAGCCGGGCATGGTAGCGCACGCCTGTAGTTCCAGATACTTGGAAGGTTGAGGCGGAAGGATCCCCGGAGCCCAGCAGGTCGAGGCTGTGGTGGCCAGGAGCGGCCACTGTACTCCAGTCTGGGTGGCAGAGTGAGACTCCAACTCAAAAAAAAGAGATATTAATGAACGTGGTAGTGATAGGTACAAGAACATGCAGTAACCCATTCTGAGGCAGAGTTTTAAAAATTTTCTTAGGACATTTATATTGCGTTGTTCTTGCAGGATTTTATGAAGATGAAAGCATCATGGGAAAGCTACCCATTTTCCAGTATCCAAATATAATGACCTCTTAAAAATAAATTTGCAAATGGAAAAATGGCCTTCAACTTTGGGTGAAGAATGTGGGAATTGTTTTTGTGGAGGGATATCCCTTCCTCAGTTTTGGGTGGGTTAGTCTTCGGCAAGTGGTTGAAGAATTTAGGGAGAGGGGTTAGACCCAGGGAGAGGTGGATACAGTTGTGGAGCTAAAGAGAGGTGAACAGAGGTTCTGCCCTCCAGTTTCAGGCAGAACGAGGTGGCCAAAGTCTTGCTAAGCAAGACGTCAAGGAATTCTGCATCCCTGAATCACCTCAAAATTGTATGAGTCTTCATTTGGACACAGGCATAGCTCTGTTATCTAAAACCCTTGAAATTAGCTGTGATACTAGAGTAATGATAATAAATCATGGTGCAGGTAATTATTGGGTCCCCCTTAATTATGCAGTGGGATTGGAGATAGAAAATAAATTTTATCTCAGAATAATCCTCAACTCTGGAAATTTCCATAGCATTCTTTTTCCCTCAGTGAAGAAGATTTTTTTAAAAATAGCATATTTTTGCTCAAATTTACCTATGTAGGTTTAGGAAACTTAGTCTCCAAAAACTTTCCTTAGGTTTTCACTTATGGAAGGCTTGAAGTAGCATAGTAGGAAGGCCTTTGGGGTCCTGAGTTTGAATCCTGCTTTAGTTACTTGCTAGCTTTGTAACCTGGAGCAACTTAATTTCTGAAAGCCTCAGATTCTCTCTCACTGAAATGGAAATGATAATAAGACCCAAGGTTCTTGAAGGCTGAATGTAGTCACATGAAGGGAGTGGCAGAAAGTGCGTTCATCATTATTATTATAGGATTTGTGGAGGAAGGAGGACCCAAATGGTGCAGTGAGCTTGATTTCTTATAGGTAATTGAGAGACAGTGAAATTATAGAAGCAATTGTGGCTTGATCAAAGGGTGTACTAACTGATGCTGTGTTTCTTAAGCGAAATTATTTGCTTTATTTAATTCTTTGCAGAATAATGGGACCACTGAACATCAGGTGGAATCTTTCATAAGGAAAAAACTGGAGTCACTGTTAAAAGAATCTCAAATTCGAGATAAAGAAGATCCTGATAGTTTCACAGTGAGGGCACTGCTGAAGGCCACACATGAAGGCTTAAATGCACACCTGAAGCAGGTATATAATTTCCTTTATACTTGCCTTTGACAGGAGAAAGAACACGCCTCATACTTTGTTTCTAATCATTTGTCACTTGTGAAATGCTTCTCCAGGCTTCCATTTTAATCCTCATTTTGCTTGACAAATGAAAATCTCCCATTGCAAAATGATTTGAGAAATAGATAAAAAGGAGACTGGGTATGGTGGCTCATGCCTGTAATCCCAGCACTTTGAGAGGCGGAGGTGAGAGGATTACTTGAGCCGATGGGTTTGAGACCCGCCTGGGCAACTTGGTGAGACCTCATCTCTACAATAAATCAAAAAATCAGCCGCACATGGTGTGGCACATGGCTGTGGTTCTAGCTACTTGGAAGGCTGAGGCAGAAGGATCACCTGAGCCCAGCAGGTTGAGGCTTCAGTGGCAGTAAGCATGCCACTGTACTCCAGCCTGGGCAACAGAGTGAGACTGCAACTCAAAAAAACAAACAAACAAACAAAAAAAAGTGGTTGGGATGGGGAGAAATGACTCAAATACTGCTTCACTGGGACCCTCAGGACAAGGCCCAGTGTCCCTAGACTCATCTTCCCAGTGCATGGTCAGTCAAGGGAAGAGGGTCCAGCCCACCAGGTACCTCACCCTCCCTCCTCTCCATGTTCAATCAGTTTCCAGGCCCCACTGATTGAACTTCCTGAATGTGTCTCCCATCTCTCCACTGGTCTTCATGACTGTGTCCCAATCTAGACCAATCTCAACTCTCACTTCTCTTGTTCCTTTCAATGTATCCTTCACTCTGAAACCAGTACAATGTTTAAAATATGCACATCTGGTCATGTCACTGTTTAAAATTCCTCAGTGGCTTGAGGTTATGCCTGGGATAGATTGCAAAGTCTTTAACCAGGCTTTCAAGGCCCTGTACCATTGCATCCTTGCCTATCTCTTCAGTCTCAGATCTCCCTCGCCCTGTTTCACCATCTCCCACATTGTCACACCAACCACAATTGTCTTTATAGCTATGGTCTTCATCACATCCAGGCCTTTGCCTGGAGTGCTCCATTCCTGCATCTGCTCCAGCTAACTCCTGCCCCATTTTATACATTCCAGCTTTAATATGATCTTGAATGAGTCCTGTCTCGACCCTTGATCAATTTCACTATCCCCTTTACATTGTCCAGGATAGTCCGTTATATCTTCTCTTTTCTGAAGTTTTTTTTTTTAAAAAAACAACTCATTTGCAATTATTTGTTCAATATCTGTCTTCCCAACTGGACTGTGGATTCCATGAACACAGGAATCATGCCAGTCTTGAAAAACATTATTTTTCTGATTTGTACAGTACCTGGGACTTAGTAAGACTCTCATAAATGTTAAGTAAATGAATGAATCAATGAATGGCTTGAACTCTGACTGAGATTTTAAGTATGCTTCCTACTAAAAATATCATAAATGGGCAGGGAAGGGGGACAGTGGGTTTATTATGTGTTCTCATTGCTGGGCAATGAGGACATTTAATCCGGCCCAGAAGAGATCCGTGTGGTCGCTGGCTCTACTAACATTAGCCTTCCCTGCCATTACCACCTGTCTTCCAGGGCCCAGGGCTCCTCGGGCAGAGGGAAGATCATATGAGGGTGACCACCCTTCAATCTAAATGACCATTTTGGCATTGGTGGTTGCCTTCTAGATCCTACAAATTGCTGGCCATTCAACTGCTAGGCTGTTCCTAGGTCCATTTAGTTTCCAAACTAAGAAAACCTAATTCAAAATGACTTAAATGATGAAGAAGATGTTGGGTTAGATAAGTGACAAGTTCATTTGTAGAGTGGCTTTCAGAGTGGGCTTAATCCAAAGGCTCAGTGGTGACATCATAGACCTAACCTTTTGCTCTACTTATCAAGCAATTAGTATCATCCTAGGTCTGGTCCCCTTTCCTCCGTGGTTGCAGAGTGACTGCACAGGCCCATGAGCTACGTGTCTCTTGGTCCATCTCCCGAGAGAGTGAGACAGTGTTTCTGTCTCGATTAACAAACCAGAGTGTGTACTTAACTCTGATTGGTTAGTTTAGCTCATGTGCCAACCGTTAAGCGAATCACTGCGGCCTTGGCTAAGTGTCTTTCCTGAAACAATACTTTGGCCAGGGTATAGAATAACGTGGTCTTACTAATGGCCAGTGAGCACTAAACCCTAGAACTCTTGCCAAGGTTAGCTCCTCCCAAACCGCATGTTACAGGGGTAGATGGAATATTGGAGAAGCAACCGCAAGACCAGTTACAGCATTACTCCCCTTAGAGTTTATTATATAATTTTGGATTTTTGAAACAAATTCTCTAAATAGTAATAATCTTCTCACCCTTCTTCTGCCAGCCATCTATTTTCAACCCCACAAATGCCTTGTAAGATCAGATTTGGCTAGCCCAACTTGATTTTGCTTCTTGTCCTTAGTGAATTCTCATTGGCTAATCAGGGCCAGTCACTTCCCATCATGCATTTCGAGAAGATTTTGCTCCGTCCTAGATCATTCCGATTGGAAATACACCCATAGAGCTTGGACACTTCAGAAGAAACCAATGAAGCCCCGTTCCTTTGCTATTTGTTGAAGAGATCTTAAGACACTTTCCCATCAGGTAAAATGTGAGGGAACTTCAGATTTCAGAGATGTAGTGGAGCAAAACTCATCCCCCTTTTTCTTATTTTTTATTTTCTTTTAAACCAGGGTAACTAAAAGAAGGCATTACACTAGTCTAGAATAAACAGAGCGTGTGATTTTAATAAATTGGAATGTAAAGTGTTGAGCTTTTCAATACAGCTTGAAAAACCATATATTAAAATATGGTTTTGGTTCGGTGGGCAAGTAAAGGCATGTTACTGTTGGCAACTAGTCTGTCTGTGCCAGGTACATATGAAGGTTTAAATCCAAAGCTGAGAATGTGCTGAGTGGCTCCGAGCAACCCATCACTCCAGCTTCTACTTTCCTGGACCATTCATTAGCAGTGCAGAATTGGCTTCTACTTGTGCTGTCTTTTTCCTGGAGAGCTCTGAAGAAAAATAAAAATGAAGCTGGGCATGATGGCTCACACCTGTGATCCCAGCACTTTGGGAGGCCAAAGCAGGAGGATTGCTTGAGCTCAGCCTGGGCAACATAGTGAGACTTTATCTCTATAGAAAATTTTTTAAAAATTAGCCAGCCATGGTGGCATACACCTGCAGTCCCAGCCACTTGGGAGGCTGAGGAGAGAGGATTGCTTGAGCCCAGGAGTTGGAGGCTGCGTGTGGAGCCATGGTTGTGCTACTGCATTCCAGTCTGGGTGACAGAGTGAGATCCTTGACTCCAAAAATAAATAAATAAATTTTAAAAAAGAAAGAAATTCTTTTTCAGGCTAGAAGAACTTAGTAGACACGAGAAGGCATTAAGAGTTCTTGAATCTGCTTTCCTTCCTTCTTTCCTTCCTTCCTTCCTTCCTTCCTTCCTTCCTTCCTTCCTTCCTTCCTTCCTTCCTTCCTTCCTTTTTCAGCATTTGAACTGCTGCTGCCTGGATATCCCTTTATAACTCTGATGAGTCCTTACTGGGTTTTTCCAGCTCTCAACTGCTCTGCTCCCACCAGACTCTCTTTCACACCACAGCCATAATGATGACTCGGAAGTATGCATGTACTGTTTTCAACCATTCCAGGGCTTCTCGTAGTTTAGCGGGTAAAGCTCAAATTCAAGATAATAGCCCATAGGATCCTCTTTTTATGTTCCGGGTCTCGGTGTTGACTCATCTGCACAGTGCCCATGTGTATAAGTATACTCATGCACATGCATTTCCTGGAAGGTCCCATGCTCTTACCACTTGGCTTTCGCGTTTTCTGTTTCCTTGGCCGCAACACACTCCATCTTCCCCATTTCACATAAACACTGTCTATTCACCTTCAGCCTTCAGTTTTTGTATCATGTTCCCTTGGCAGTCCTCTTTAATCCTCAAGGTCAGGTAGGCTGTCACCCTGCAGTGTCCTGAGCTTTCCCCATTATAATCTTATTAACAGTCTGTTGGGATTGCCTCTACCATTAGTCTGAAGCCCAGCAAGACAGAGTCTGTATCTCTCTGTTAGCTGTTGCCCTCGTACACATACCAAGTTCCTAGGACAGTGTCTTATTCATGAAGTCAATGGAAGTTGTGGTGCCGATGCTCAGGGAGAGGTCAAAGTTGGAGGTAGATATTTGTAGATATCTGTTTTCTACATAAAAATGGAGGTGTGAGCCGGACTCGGTGGCTCAGCCTGTAATCCCGTGCCTTTGGGAGGCTGAGTTGAGTGGGTTGCCTGAGCCCATGGGTTCGAGACCTGCCTGGGCAGCAAGACCTCATCTCTACAATAAATAAAAAAATCAGCCGGGCGTGGTAGCGCGCACCTGTAATTCCGGCTACTCGGAAGGCTGAGGCAGAAGGATCGCCAGAGCCCAGCAGGTCGAGGCTGTGGTGGCCGGGAGCGGCCACTGCACTACAGTCTGGGCCACCGAGTGAGACTCCAACTCAAAAAAAAAAAGGAAGTGTGGGATAAAAGAAGTTGAGAAGGGGAGAGGAGCCCTAGAGGGGACTTGGAGCTAGACAGAATCCCTGTTTTATCACCAATTGACTTTGTATCCTTGGACATATTATTTAGCTTCACTATATCTCAGCTTTTCTTTTCTGTGAAATTAGGATTTTAATCATACTTGTCTCCAGGGATGGTTATATATAGTATATGAAACTATGTCCAATGTACTTTGCATTATCCTTAGGTACAATAGGTACCTGTTAGGTAGGGTAATAATGCACCCCAGTTTGCCTGGTGCAGCCCTGCTTTTTATTCCTGTTGCCCCAGCATAATAATTAAAAGTGTCCTATTTCATTCTTAAAAGGTCCTGTTTTGGACAATAAATGACATGGTCCTCCTACCAATAGTTGGGCTATTGGAAGTAGAAAGGAACTCACAGATTAATTGGTCCATTTTACACATAAGAAAACTGAAACCAAGAGAAAGGGCTTTCCTAAGGGCATATAGCTGCTTGATGGAGAACTAGGTCTTTTAACCTGAAGAACAGTGTTTCTTTTATGACCATATCTAACTACCTTCTTAATTCTGGCGTTTTTGAACCGTTAATGATCAGCATTAACAGATTTTCAAAAGTATTGAACATACATGAGCCAGTCAACAGTTCACTAGCATCACTCTGGAAACCCCTCACCCTTCCTTCTGCATTTTTTGAGCAGCTCTTTCCCAACCAATTCTTGGACTTCTCCCATCTTCTTCCCACTCCTTATCTTTGATTAGTGTTTATGGATATGTGTGATGTCCTTCCAACATTTTGGTTTTAAATGACTTTGCTCACCTATATGTATACCATGTACATAGTTACCTCTGTTTTTTCTTTTTTTCTTTTTCTTTTTAAAGATGTGAGGTACAATTCAGGGTTAGATACATAAGTGGTCATTGTACAGGTGAAGTTTGGGCCTCCCATTGGTCCTCACTTCTCCTGGTTTGGGATCAGGTACCCTTATTAATGTTGTGTGCCACCCCTCCCCTGGCAGTGATCTGCTACTACCAATCTCCTTCATGTAATATTATGATAAATATTCAAGGTCCACTTATGAGTGAGAACATGTGGTATTCAGTTCTTTGTTTCTGTGATAAGTCACTGAGTATTGTTTTTTGTTGTTGTTGTTTAGCTGGAGCCCTATGCTGGTGGGGCCTGCTGGTCTATCTTTATACCCCATCATTAGTTGTGAACTGCCGAGCATATTTTTAGGGATAGCAATTGAATAAGAGTCCACACCCTCTTAATGGGTGGTCTTTCTGTTCACTAGTGAGAAATAGGCTCCAGGAAGGAAAGTTGACCCAAGATCTCTAACCTGGAAAATTAACCCACATGAGGAAAAATTCAGAGACTACAATACTCCTTTCCAGTGCTCATCACAGAGGAAATTATTTCAATGAACAAATAAGCTTTGCTGTGGTTTAGCTTAAACAGACAAACTAAAGCAATCTTATTATTTCATAGATATGCTTGAATTTTACTAATTTTTAATGTTTTAAAATTCCAACTTGCAATATTTAATCAATATGATCACTTTCTTTATTCAACAGAATTGGCTATTAATGACTAGGTCACTTTCCAAAATTAAATATCCTCTCAACTGAAAATTATTTATTCCTGCTCAGAATGTTCAAAAGAACACATCTAAGTGGTAGAGGGCCTGGTGAACAAGCACTGTGAGGACCAGCACAGCTGGGCATTGCTGAGCACGTGGTGAACAAATACTGTGAGGACCAGCACAGCTGGGTATTGCTGAACTGAGGTCCAGCTTTGGAAAGATGTGGGCAGCACCTCGTATCCTGGCTGGTACCCAAGCCTCTTTGTGCCAATGTTTCCTTTTCTTGAGGTACACCCAGCCATCTCTGTGGTAATTCACCCAGGAGAAAGGAAGTGATAGAGGCAAATGGGAGAGAGAAGAGGCTTCCTTTGCCCTTCCACCAGAACAAAGGGAAAAAAAGCAAAGATAGTTATATTACGACTTTCTTTACTCAGAATCCAGATGTGAAGGAAAGTGGAAAGAAATCACATGGACGGTCTCTCATGACGAACTTTGGAAAACATAAGGTATGAATTAAGAGTTATAAATATGCATAAGTCATTTAATTTAAAGATTCTGGCAAGTAACAGGAGAATATTATGACCTCGGAATCAGTGAACATTTCTTAAATAGGACCCCAGTAAAGGAAAAGATAAATATTTAAACTACATTAGAATTTAAGAACTTTTATTCATTAAAACTCTTAAAAAGCAAGTTGCATAGTGGAAAAGAATATTTTAAATACACATAACACATAATGATATACGTTATTAAAATTGGTGTGTGTATGAATATGTACATTATATATTCTGTCCTGACTATATAAATAGCTCTTATAAATCATTAAAAAACAAGCAGATCAAGCATGGTGGCTCACGTCTGTAATCTCAGCAATTTGGGAGGCCAAGACTAGCAGATGTCTCAACCCAGGAGTTTGAGACCAGCCTGGGCAACATAGCAAAACTTGTCTCTTCAAAAAGAAAAAAAAAATTGGCTGTGGATGAGGGGATGCACCTGTTAGTCCCAGCTACTCAGGATGCTGAGATGGAAGGATTGCTTGAGCCCAGGAGGTTGAAGCTGCTGTGAGCCGTGGTTGTCGTGATCATGCTATTGCACTCCAGCCTGGATCATCGAGTGAGACTCTGACTCAAAAAAAAAACCAAACAAACTAATTTTTTAAAAATGGGCAAATGATTTAAACAGGTACTTCAAAAAAGAAGATATTTAAATGACTAATAAAGAAAAAGGGCTCGCTGTTATCAATCATTTGGGAAATATACACTCACCACAATAGATTACATAAAAAGCCTGCAGAAACAAAATGTCAGTGAGGATGTTCAACTTGAACTCTCAATTACTGCTTGTGGGTGGGTATATTCGTGCAGCTACTTTGGTCCACTATTTTACAGTGTCTGCTAAAGCTGCACTTGATACTATGACTTAGCAGTTCTATTGTTTAGGTATATATCAATAACAATACATATAATGGTATTATTGGAAATAATATAACTAGGAAACAATTCAAATGTTTACCAACAATAGAATGAATAAAAATTGAAGTATAGTCATACAAGGGAATACTTAACAGCTACGAAAATGACAAAATTAGGAGTGCATACAATAACATAATGATCCTTATCAACATAATGTTTAGCAAAAGAAGCCAAACCCAAGAGAGTGCATACAATTTGATTCCATTTATATGAAATTCAAAACCAGACAAAAAATCTTGAAGAGTAGAACTCAGAATAGTTATTACCTTTGGAGACAAAGTAATGACTGAATGGGAAGATCAGAAGGCTTCTGCTGGTCAGATAAAGTTTCATTTCCTTACTCGGGTGGTTTTGCTTTGTGAAAAGTTATCACTTATGACTGATGTACTTTTCTAAATGTTTGTTATACTTCAATGCAAAGGTAAAAAATGTTATATAAGAAATCATTTATTGGATGGTGATTTTATGCATGAGTTTTCTGTCAGGACATTTTTTCTACTTTAAAAATGTCATATCTGGAATTTCCTGCTCATCAGTGGGATAATTTGTTAATAGGTTAGACAAATTAGTATTATAACAAAAAATTGAAAACAACCAAAATGTTCACCCATGAGAACTGTTTAGGTCAACTATGATTCATTTACATAATGGACAGTTATGCAGCCATTAGAAGAGATCAGCATACAAAATATTAAATGAAAAAAGTAAGATGAAAAATGAATTATATGACCATTTTATATGATAAGGTGTGTTAAAACTCTCTTTATAGAAGATATATCATTTCTCTGAATGTTATCTGTCATTGGGAATTCGTTTCTTATTTCTTTTTTTTTTTTTGCATTTTATAACAAAATACATTTTATTTTATTTTTATTTTAGATTCAGGGCCTACACATGCATGTTCGTTACATGGACATATATTGTGTAGTGGTGGGGATTGGGTCTCAGGTGGCGCATTCTCCAGTTAGTGAACATTGTACCCAATAGGTAATTTCTCACCACTAATAATTCCCCTCCCAACTCCCCTCTTTTTGGTGTTCCCAGTGTCTATTATTTCCATCTTTGTGACCATTTAGCTCCCTCATGTGAGTGAGAACATACGGTGTTTAGTTTTCTGTTTCTGAGTCAGTCACTTAAAAACTCATTTATTATTACATAATTCAAAGTACTAACTATATGTGGTATTTGAAAATATTTAACTTCTGGATTAAAATTATCTTCCAAAGTAAATGTTTTAGGAAGTACTTCAGCTACTATAGAATTAGAATTTATCTTGCCTCGAGTCATAAAAATAAATAGCTGTCATGAGACTTTATATATATTCTAATAAATATGAATAGTATTTTAAGTTGAAAATATAGAGTTTACAGAATGACTTTCTGTGCCATTTCATATAAATATCACGACAAGAATTCTTTAAAATTGCCATACCCTTTTTAAAGAAACACTAGGAAGTTGAAGAGGTTAGCCAGTTTACCAACTTGCCAAAGGGCCAATCTGCAATGTGAATTTATTCAGTGGGTAGGGTTCCCATGTACACCGAGCTTCTCAAGATAGAATAATGCCTGAGAAGGCTCCACACCAAACTGGCACCTCACTGTCAGGGCAGTAGAAAGTAGTTGCATGTGTTTGTGCCAGCTGTATAGCTTGGTTTTTTTATTTGTTGGATATAACTAAGTCTGGAAGTGACATATTGCCATGGTAATTTGGGGATGGAAACAACCACATTCCCAGATGTCTGGGGCATGCTGTCTAAAAGTTTTACCTTTGTTTGTGGATGCTGTATTTTTGGTGCAAGCTTTTCTGGATCTATTGGAGTAGTCCCTTCCCATCATTTGTATTGTTGAGCTATGTGTTGGCTGTCTCCAAAGTGGTGGGAATGGAACCACATTATCCCAAAAAAGGTTTATGCCAAACAGCTGATCTGCCCCAAAGACTTCAGATTAGTCCTGGAGACTTTCAGCCTATATCCTGTGGATAACAATTTTTATTCTGCGGCTAAAAATGAAAATGGGTCAAAATCTTTAAAAAACTGTTTGATTTACATAGTCATTTAAGTGCACACTGATCAAAGGCAGAAATGGTAGTTATTCATGTAAAAAAAAAAAAAGGTTTCAGCAAGTCCCTTTTCCTTAAGCCAAATATACCTTTATAATTCTTTAATCAATAATGAGCTTCCTATACAAAAGGGCATTTTGTCCCTTATAATCATTTAAATAGGTAGTGCAACTTTGGCTCTGTCCCCCATAGAGACCTTCAAAATGCATGACTAATAAAGACTTTCTAATGCATCGACTTTCTGTGGTTTAGAAGTCAGTTTCTGAGCATGAAACCTCAGTTTTGCATTAATATTTTAATATAATTATGGCCTTAGACATGCTTGTTATTAATGGTGAAGCAAGCTGCAATATTTGGTCTTTTTTATCCCTCCATTTATTGTATTTGTGTGTATCTGCATTCCAAGGCCAGTCCATACTTTGTATGTTGTAAACGTACCCGATGCATTGACTTTAAGTTTACTTTGATTTTTCTGGCAGAAAACCACAAAATCACGGTCGAAATCTTATAGCACTGATGATGAGGAGGAGACACAGCAGAATCTTGGCAAAGAGGGTGGCCAACTGTACAGGTAAGAAAGCATCTGCATGTTCCTTGACTCCTGAGAGCTCTCCATCCCTGTCAACTTGTTGTTTTATTTGTATGTGTCCAGATAATTGAATTATAAGGAAAATTCTCAGTGCTTGGGGACATGTGAAGAGATACTGGATATGAGATGATGATATACGTATATGGGGAACTTAGCACTGTGCCTGGCACATAATGAGCTCTGTATAAATGCTTGCTGTAGCAGTTGTCAAGTAAAAAGAAGAAGAGGGAGAGGGCTGTCACAGGAGACTAAAGGAGAAGACAGATGCTGAACACATGTTAGGAACCAGGAATGTGAAATCAGCCAGACTTCAAATTCTGTTTCCTCTACCAGCTTTTTTTTTCTTTTTGTGTTGGAGTCTTACTTGGTAGCCCAGTCTGGAGTGCAGTGGCATGCTTACGTCCACTACAGCCTCAACCTGTTGGACTCAGGTGATTCTTTCGCCTCAGCCTTCCAAGTAGCTGGAAATACAGGCACACACCACCATGCCCTGGAAATTTTTGGATTTATTGTAGAGATGAGATCTCGCCAAGTTCCCCAGGCTGGTCTCGAACCCATGGGCTCAGGCAATCCTCTCACCTTGGCCTCCCAAAGTGCTGGGATTATAGATGTGAGCCACCATGCCCGGCCTACTTCCCAACTTGAACATGGGGCAAGTTAGCTTCCTCATTTATATCTATCCCTTAGTGTCATTGTAAGGATTAAATGAATCAAGCTAATTAGCCCTGTGAGCCCTGGCCCAATTAAAGAAGTGCTCAAAAACTTTAGCTACTGTTTTTTTTGAAGTTATTATTCCCAATAGTATTTGTGATAAGAAACGTGACTATATTTTCAGAACCCAAATTGTTACACATGATCCAATAGAGGATGTTTTGGCAGTTCATTTATAGCATAACTTTCATGAAGATATGTATATTATTTTACAGATAGATAGATGTGAATACATACACATACACACCTATGCCTTTATTGAAAGATGAAATAAAATAAGAAGCATAGAGGCTGTGTAGGAGTTAAACTTCGGTGTTCAATTAAGCTTTGCATTTGAACTCCAACAGTATATCTATATATAAAATAGTAACCCATTAGTAAGGACAGAGGGGGTGTATATAGTCCCTACTCTTAGGGAATAGAAAATTGAATATGTAGTTACAGTAAAGGATAAAGGAGAAATAGGATCACCTTTTGAGAGACCTCTGTTATGAATGTTTTCAAAAATAAGTTTGAGAAAGGCTTAACTCTGAAACATGTAGCCAGGGAAATGACATTGTTTGAGAAAAGCCACGATAATCTTAATGTGTACAAATGAGACATCACTACAAGTATCACATGAAATCATGTTGCATGCTGCTATTGCATCACTTATAGATTTTCCCATAATAGTTATTAGGAGCATTTATGGTAGTGTCTTTTGGAACTTTAGTAACCTAGTCCACCCCAGGATGAGGATTAAAAAGAGCTAACTTTATGTAGAATTTCACCATATCGTAGTGGTCTTATAGTTTGACTTATAATTTCTAGGCATGATTTCACACTGATTTATAATCATTAGCCTTCACAAAACCAGACTTTCACGTGGCTATAGAATTCCTTAATTTTAGGATAGTGGAGGAACATGCATTCATTCTTTCCATTAGTTTTTATACCTGTTTCTAGTCACACCTCTATTGTTGACAAATGAACTGTTGGAGAATTTTATTGTTATTTTTTTACTGAATGTATGTAAGCGCCATTAGGGCAGGGATATTTGTCTGACCTGTTCACTGTTTTATCTCTAATAGGTGGTCAATAAATATCTGTTGAATAAATAAATAAATCTATATCACCACTATGTAATCCCAAAACATTTTTGTCACCCTCAAAAGAAACCGCACGCATTAGCAGTCACTCCCAACTCTCCTTTCCCTCAGTCTCTAGCAAACACTAATTTGCTTTTTGTCTGTATAGTTTTGCCCTTTCTGGACATGGCATATAAATGAAATTATCCAGTATTTGGGCCCTTGTGTCTGGCTTCTCTTACTTAGTATAATGCTTTCAAGATTCCTCTGTGTTGTACCATGTGTCAATACTTCTTTTTATTGCTGAATTGTATTCCATTGTATGGAGATGCTGCATTTTATTTATTTATTTATGAGTTAAAGGACATTTAAGTTGTCTTCACTTTTTGGTTGTTACAACTAATGCTGCTATGGACATTCTTGTATAAGTTTTTATGTGGACATATGTTTTTATTTCTCATGGATGTATACCTAGAAGTGGAATTGCTGGGTAATATGGTAACTGTTTAACTTTGAGGAACTGCCAAACTATTTTCCAAAGCAATTGTACCATTTTATATTCCCCAGCAATATATAAGTGTTCCCTTTTCTCCTTACCCTTGTCAGCACTTGTTGTTGTCTGCCTTTTTGGTTACAACTGTCCTAGTGTCCTAGTAGTGAGTGTGAAGTGGTGTTTCGTTGTAGTTTTGATTTGCATTCCCCTAATTACTAATGATGTTGAACCTCTTTTCATGTATTTATTGGCCATTTGTATATCTCCTTTAGTAAGGTTTGTTTTTGCTGGTCAGTTGTTCAGGAGAAAAGTGTGTATGTGAAGAAAATGTAATTGCCTTTGGTGGACTTTACTGTGATAGATAGTAGTGGTGCAATTTGTAAGGTTGTAGAGGAAATTCTAAGAGTGATTTGTAGGAGAAGAAAACTTTTTAAAAAAAAACAGCTAAGAAGAAAAAAAAACTCTAAACAAAGTAATTCATGTTTGTTTTAAGAAATTGAAGAATAGAGAAAAAAGTATAAAAATAAAATTGAAATTACTTATAATTATATCTCTAAACAATAATCACTATGAAAATTTGGCATATTTCCCTTTAGGTATATAATTCTTAATCCCACCATGCAATGTTTCTATACCATTTTGACCTTGGTTCTCTTCCCTGCAAAGGCAGAATTTGAGTGTTTCTCCCTAACTGGGTAACAGCGGGAACCACACCCCTCACAATAGAACCCACACATGCATGAGACAAGGCTGTGATTCCTGACAGAGCAGTAAATAAAACCACATCACAATGGTCCCCCCTTATTCACGAGGACTATTCACAATTCCAAGACCCTCTTGGATGCCTGAAGCTACAGATAGTAGTGAACCCTATATACACTATGTTTTTTTCTTTTCATTATTAAGTCGAGAAGTTTCACCTCTTTACTTAAAGGGAGCACTTTACTGCTGGCTTCTCTTTGACATATCCAAATTCCCAGCATCACTACTTTTGTACTTTGCAGCTATTAGTAAGGTGAACAAGGGTTACTTGAACATAAGCTCTGCGAGACATCCACAGTCAATCTGAGAGCAAGATGGCTGCCAAGTGAGTAACAGGCAGGAGGTGCATACAACATAGATACTCTGGAAAAAGGGATGGTTCATATCCAGGGTGGGATGGAGTACGATAGCATCAGATTTCATCATGCTACTGAGAGTGGTGCACAATTTAAAACTTATGAATTGTTTATTTCTGAAATTTTCCATTTAATATTTTCAGTCCACAGTTGACCATGGGATCATACTTGAGTTCTAATCCTGGCTCCCTTAGGACCTGGGACAGATATTCCCTATTTAATTGTTGTCTTAAATAGGGAAGGTGGAGTAACCAAGAGCCCAAACCTCTTGCAGCTGCAAAATATCATGAGTCCTGGTGGTGTACTTCACAGGTTGGGTCGCCGAAGGAAAACCATGAAGCTCTGCCGAGAACTCTCTGATTTGGTTGTGTACACAAACTCTGTGGCGGCCCAGGACATTGTGGATGATGGTAAGGACTGAGAGTTTTTCTTCTGCTCTGGATAAACATTCTTGACCTTTCTTTTTGACTGTTAATTAATCTTCTGTTAATCCGACCATCACCAGAAATTTCTTAGACTGTGCAAAAACCAATTTGGGTGTCAGGAAACTGACTGCTGATATGCTGCTGAGCTCACTTGGAGGGTTCTGTTGATTGCTGTGGTTGCCTGATTGGCTGGAGGTCAAAGAGATTCCTTCTGGGCCAAGGAGGACTTTATTATTATAAAAAGACAAATACATCAGAGCAAGATCTTCCTCCAATGCTTGAACTGGAGACCGGGTCTGGCTTGAGAACCAGGTCATAGATGGCCATCCCAAGCGTGAAATTAATTGACTAAAACCACACCTTGAAAAACCCTATATTTTCTCACTGAAAGTTTTGACTTTGAAGAAAGTAATTTAATTCAGATTCAAGTTTTAATAAAAAGGACAGAAATCTCAGCAGCATTGACTCTTGCACTGTTTTTCACCTGTCAATTGGCACACTGAGCTGAGGAATTCCAGTCACAACTATTCTTACCCTTTACTTTTCTGCTTGTTGCTCTTTTCTCCTTTGTCTTCTGTTTCATTTGTTATTGAATGCTTACAGAAGTAACCTACTGCTATGTAGCTTTTCATCTAATTTTAACTTTAGTGAAACTGAAATGTAAATCAGAACCTCCAGTTTTCCTAACAAGTCTTACTGAGGGGAAAACTGCATCATGGTGAGTCTTACATCCTCACAAACCTCCAGGATTCTTCTCTCAGCTCTTCCACCCCCACTCCACAAGTATATCTTTTTCTATTTGCAGAAAGATTTATTTTCTTCCCTTTGGTGTTGATTCCTTCTTCGAATGGTGACAGTTATACAAGATTCAAATTAATTTCGTGTGTGAGAGCATGCAAAACTGTAGGATTCTCAGCAAGTGAGCAACACATTCTTATAATAACTGCCCACAGCTCAAAAATAAGCTCAAAGAGTGGTTGAATGAAGTTCAAGGTATATTTGGTTTAGGGAATAAAAATTTCCAATAAATGCCTTGGAAACCACGATCCTATTGGCTTAATGGAAATTAATCTTGAGTACAATTTAGCTCTTGAACTTCAGGTGTTTTTGTCTTTTTTTTCCAGCCATAAAATGAGAACCTGATAATGAATGCTTCTATTATTGGCATAGCTTATCCTAATGCAATGCAACTCAATTCTATTAACATACTAATTGATATGTGCCTAATGAGCAAGGTTATCTTAATAATACTGTGGTGTGGATATTTATGTGGACAGAAAAAATGACGATATTGATTATAGCATTATTCCATCAGAATCAGACTTGTCAAAAACATTGTATTTTCTTCTATCATATTTAAGACATTCATCATTGAAATCTCCAAATAAGTTCAATTATAGTATACTTGAGATATGTAAACTATGTCAACATGTAAAATATGTCAGTAAGTTAATCAATAAATATACATCTTTAAGGAAAGGGTCTATATTAGAGAAATCATTACATTAAAAGCTGTAATTCTCTTATTTCTCTGCCTCCAGCTGTATTTATGACTGTTCCAAGTCCCAGCTCTAAAGTGTCATTGTTTGTCAACTGACCAGTGTCTAGCATCTAATGGTGTACAACCCTGAGGACCACAGGTGGTGTGTTTGCTAATACACATGCACAGTCTAGATAGAATCCAAGCCCATTTGTTTTAGCAGGACCACATATAGTTCAATTCCTTGGTTTCATAGACCTTACCTCTTAGTCTAGGTAAAGGCACACTCAGCTTGTTAAAATTGGAATAAGCATGAGACTTTGGGCAAGTCTGGGTCTTTATCTGAGCTGGCCTTTTCAGCAGGTCCAGAGGACATATAGGCGGTTATTTTGAGAATAGAGTATGGATGCTTGGTAAAGGAGTGGAGATAGTAAGGGCCTTATAGATATGGTGCAAATGGTGGGATTGGGGATAAAAGTAGAATATTAAATGTTTGAAGGGACCAGCCATGGTGGTTCACACCTGTAATCCCAGCAGTTTGGGAGGCAAAGGTGGGTGAATCCCTTGAGGCCAGCAGTTCGAGACCAGATTGGACACCATAGTGAGACCTGTGTCTCTACAAAAAAAAAAGTTTGAAGGTTTACTCTGTCATGAGCCCCAAAATTTGAACTTCCTTGTCCTAAGACTGACCCCTCCTGATGATTGTCCTAGCAGAAACTTTAGTACAGGCATTATGTACTTTTATTCCTCCTCTTTTTTTTTCATAGTTTATATGTTTGTCTAGGTGAATGATTGTCCTTACTTCTAAAACTTTTATTTCCTTATAATACTTTTTGAGCTCTATTTCTCCATTATTATTTCTTTCTCCCAAACAAGTCTTGACTAGTTCCATAATTCTATTTAAGTCAACTTTAAAACTCAGTTTTTCTTTTTTGTAATTGGCCTTTTTCCTTTTATTTTCTTGGACCCTGCATGTTATCAGGTAATACACATTACACATGTGTGTCTTTTAGATGAATGCCTTCAGTGAATGTCTTCTTGTTATTAGGAATAAGTTATATAGGTTATACTGATATTTTTTGTTTGTTTGTTTTGTTTGCTTTTTTGAGTCAGGGTCTCAGTCACCCAGGCTGGAGCGCAGTGGCATGATCTCAGTGCAGCCTCAACTTCCCTGCAGCCTCAACCTCCTGGGCTCAGGTGATCCTTCCATCTCAGCCTCTCAAGCAGCTGGACCACGTGCCATCATGCCTGGCTAATTTTTTGATATTTTGTTGAGACAAGATCTTGCTATATTGAATAAGCTGGTCTCAAACTCCTGAACTCAGGCAATCCACCTGCCTCGGCCTCCTAAAGTGTTAGGCTTATAGGTGTGAGCCACCCACCATGCCTAATCTGATAGTTTTATCTGTGTTCCCCTATGTCTTTGGTAAAGATATGCTGTTTGAGTTAGGTACCTAGAAAATATTTTTTCTGCCTGCCCTCTTCATGCTAGCCAGATAGACAGACATAAATTAATGAGATGATTGGGTTTCTGGGAGAACAGAAGGAGACTCAGAAATAGACAGATGCCTTAGCAAAATATGCAGCTCTGATTTGACTTCAAAATGGCAGAAGAGTTCTAAGAATGGAATTTACTGGGTCTTTCTTGGTCAGGAGCTGTCTCTACTCTGGCTGAATCTTTTCAATCTTCTTTCTACTATTTGTATAATGGCATTATTAACTTTTTTGCAAGAGGTGTTTTCTTTGCTGTAGTTCTCACCTTCCTTTTTTCTTTATTAAAAACTGCCAGGAACCACAGGAAATGTGTTATCCTTCAGTGAAACAAGAGCACATCAAGTGGTTCAGCAGAAATCTGAGCAGTTCATGATTTATAACCAGAAGCAGCTCACAAGGATTTACCCCTCCGCTTACCGCATTGACTCTAGTAACTTCAACCCTCTACCCTACTGGAATGCAGGCTGCCAGCTAGGTTTGTACCCCCTGGGAAGGAACCGTTCTCTGTATGTTCTCACTACTCTGCCATCTTGCCTAATTCTCTCCAACTTCTAACTTGCGCAGTGGCACTGAACTATCAATCTGAAGGGCGAATGATGCAGTTAAATCGAGCCAAATTCAAGACGAATGGCAACTGTGGCTATGTCCTCAAACCCCAGCAAATGTGCAAAGGTGTGGATTAAGTTCATGGTCATGTCTCTAAATGCAGGTGACCTCTATTAAAGAAGCTCTTTAAAAGTGTGATATTCTAGTGTTTTGTAACTTTTTTTAAAGGTAGGTTAAGGTGTTTGGATGTAAGCTAGAACCCTTGTCACTATTATTTAATATTTGGTAGCGTGATGTTTGAATGTTATCTTGTGAGGTTATGTATTTCAAGAGGGGCATGAATAGCAACGGGTTATCCAACATCCCAGTATGATATTCAGTGGGCATTACTATATATAAACCACAATGTTTTAAATGCCTTCCAAGGTCTGAGCCCATCTTCTAGACATGATTTTAGGGAGTATGAATCTGAGACCTGCCAGCAAAATTAAATTCCACCCGAAACAATTTTATCAAGCCCTTCTAGTCTGTGCGGTCGAGTTACAAAACAGTGTTAGCAAAAGAGAAAGGATAATGTAGTGTTAGATCAAACAACCCTTTCTTTCGGTTCTGCTCATTAAAATTCTTTTTAAATTTCCCAAATTAAGTTTTTAACAATTCAGCTTAAAAAAATGTTGACAGATGTTGTCGTCAGGATGTTATGCTTTGCATGTTTTTTTGCTCTGCTGTTGACTTAATTTCATGTCTTTTTCTGTTTGTTCAATTCACTTTATACCTGAGATAGTTTAGGTTAGAAAGTTGTGTGACTCTCACATAACTGCTCTTCATTTTTATAGTATTGGCATTCAAATAAAACGCCTCGTTTCCTCCCGGCCGTGGTTGATCATTGCGTTGCAGACCCTCACTTTACATCAGTCCATCCCTCTGGCCTTTGGGAGAGTGGATTCTTTTTTTTCTTTTTTTTTTTTTTTTGAGTTGGAGTCTCACTCTGTCGCCCAGACTGGAGTGCAGTGGCCGCTCCCGGCCACCGTAGCCTCGACCTGCTGGGCTCCAGCGATCCTGCCGCCTCAGCCTTCCAAGTAGCTGGAACTACAGGCACATGCTACCAACCCGGCTAGTTTTTTTATTTATTGTAGAGATGAGGTCTCTGAAAACAACACTTTTGGGCTAGCTGGTGTTGCCTTTAGGCAAAAACCATACTGATTATTATGGGAGAGTTTCTTTGCTCTAAGAAACACTCGTAGTTCAGCATTTGTTGTCTCTTTGTTTTATAAGCTTAAACATAGCTTGTTTTACAAGCTGTGTGTGTGTGTATCTTTTGTGTTACCCACACCTGCTTTATTTGGCTTAGGTACTTTTAACCCTTTCTCTGGTGACCCACTTCCTGCAAACCCCAAAAAGCAGTTCATCCTGAAAGTGATCAGTGGACAGCAACTCCCTAAACCTCCAGACTCCATGTTTGGAGACCGAGGCGAGGTAAGCTGTGTATGACTATGTGTAAGTGGTTAATTACATGATTATTGTGTTTGCATTTTGTCTGAAATGTCCTCAGAGCTGTGTGTGTCTGTACGTGTGCCTGTGAGTGAGCACTGACCTCAGCTCATCAGACATTAACCAATTTGTTGGCAAATCACAGTGGACTGCAGTGTATCAGCTGTTTTGGAGATGTAAGTGCACACAGTTCGATTCATGATTCAAGGCTAATACTGTCAATGCTAATTGGGGTGCAAAGACCAATTCCATTATGAACAGAAACTTTGCTTAAGAGTATGTCTTATAACCTCCCACCCACATTCCTCAACCCCTGTGATACTCACCCCCAGCCACATTTCTTTGACCATGTGTAGATTTTTGTCACATGTTGCACATCTGTGGCATGACTTTAAATTGGTCTTCCTCTGTTACCACAGCCCCCTCACTTCCAGAGCTTTTAGTCTACTGTTTCCATTATACCTGGTCTTGACCTTCTTGGCCTCTGTTTTCTCCTTACCCATCAGCTCCTTTCATGCTCATGTTCTTCCTCTCAGAGCTGGTGCATCATTTCAGGCTCTGTGCTGCCCCTACCAGTTAAATCATCATTTCTGGTTTTTTTTTTTTTTTTTTTTTT